AAAACATTACAAATAACATGAAGGGAGGGGGGGGAGGGGGCTTATATTTTACGTATCATACAACTATTTTTTAATAAATGAGAGCTATTAAAAATGTTTAGACAACGTGATCATTGCGAGGTCAACTTCACAATCACAAAATTCAGTTAATTTTCAGGCTAATTTTTATTTCCTTGTAAAAAAAAAATAAAATAACATTCACTCACGCATCATACGTACGCAGGGCATTTAGAATTAAGGCGTTACAAACTTTTACGGTAAAACGAGACGTAATAAATATGCATAAGAATGCAAAATATCATAAACCTAGATACGAGATCTACATAAACTAGGTCCTATGCCGGTGGGTGGTGGGCGACGCCGGCATCGACTACTGGCTTATTTTCACACCGGAGACTGATGACCGCCGATCCGATGGCACACCCATGTTGATGTTTACCTTCTCCGTAGCTAGTGCTCGATAGCGTTTAAGCTTAGCTTCCAAGGAGACACTTTAACCGCGTTATGTCACAGGCAATCCCATTCCTCGTATTACAACACCAAAATATATCGGGGTGGATGAAAAGAGTGGGACTAGAAGTTTTACGAACAAAAAAAAAGACAAAGGTAGCGCCCATCAATAAACAACTACCTGGGTAGTTTGTTATTCAACAATAGGAAATGTTGATGGAAGAATTGTCTCTAGGAAATAGTATTTGTGTAGACTTTTGATGACAGTTTTCGAAAAAGTCCATTTAAAGTGTCAAAAAAATTCCCAATGCCCTTTTATAATTTAATTTGTGCCCTGATATCTGCAAATTCAATCGACGATCCGAGATACCAAATATAACACGACATCTATTCCGATTTTTGTTATTTTTCAGTCAACAAAAGCCTCAAGGGCTGCTATTATCCCACCGTGTTTGGAAATCAGGCGCGATTGCTCGCCACCTCAGAATAATATCTCTATTTGTTCGGCGCGTTCGCTAGTTAAACAGCGCCAGATGTTTGTTTATACGAATTTTTCCCTTTCGACAACTGGAATAAACAACTATTCTCTTACCGGTAATTAGTGCTTTGGTGTTTGCACGGTACTCAACTTGAAAGCCGATAAACGTAGAAAAAACACTATTCAAAACAAAGGCGAAAATGTTTTACTTGTACACCCAATTAAAATGCCTCTTTACATTAACTGCCGATACTTTCTTCGAAAGGGCATTATCACAATTTTTTTTTTTTTTAAGTAAAGAATCGTACATATACTGCGTATGAAGTGGTGAACCATTGATGGCGTGTTGTATTCTGAATAACAGTCGACAGGTGGCGTAGGTATTGTATTCCTGTTAACAACGTCTGTTTTGTAATTTGAGGATCTCAAAATTATGACATAATACGTAAAAACCTACAAAATAAAATACTGTCAAGGTCGAAAGGTTATCAAAATTGTAATATTGTGTCTTGAATGGGTAGTAAGAATATCAAAAGGTCAATCACTGTTTTAATGGTATTCAGTTTTAGTAATTTTTGTTTATCTGAAAATATAGATAATGTTAGGCATAATAATAAAGTTAGGTATATTATTTAATTGAACTTGAAGTTGTCGGAAGGCGGAAAGAGCTATTGGACATTTGTCTTTGGGTACAGCACTAGCAAATGTCGTTAAAGTTAAACTGGTTGGAAAACAGTCGGAAAATGTATGTAAAGCTTCTTAAAATAGAGAAACTGTTATATTTTGAGATGTATACATCCTCAAACTTTATTATTTTTTATGTCGACTACCCTGATTCAACTTTATTATTAACTATACTCATAATGTTACTTTATAACCTATAATAACATAAAAAAGAAGTATACAAAAGAACCCGCTGACACAAAACTCTTGAAAAAAAAAACAGAAGTCGCATTTCCTCCAGAAGTATTTTTTTTGTTCTATGCATGCTACCTTGGGCGGATATCAAAGACAGAGCAAAGAAAACGTCGGATCGATTTAGTTTTATGAGATCTTTTTATGAAAGCTCCGGATAAATGTCAAATACAATTATAATGATCATCAAAGAAGAAATTGAATCAGACCGTTCTGTATTAAGTGACTTCTCAATATTATAAATGAAAATTAAATTTCACGAACATTTCAAATTATCTCGGTTACCTACAATACGTATATGAGGCGGGTATAGGTTACAAAATATTTAGAATGTTGTTGGCGAACAAGACAATACAAACTTCTTCGACTAACAACAATTACGTGTAAAATTTCGCAAACAAATACAGAGCAAATCTTAAATGTAAATATTTAAACTTATATTTAAAAATATTTACGGATAAACGCAATTGTTGACGTTTTCGTCGATCTGTTATTTTCGCGGACGGTGTTTGTCGTTAGTATTTTCAAGTGCAATCAATATTTTCAATGAACCAGAAGTGTGTTCAAGTGAAATATGTATTTTCTGTGCAAAGTGCACACGCAGCAAAAACTATACGCGATTTGGTACGAACATCAAAAAAATATTCCAAATGAGTGTAAGTTGATAAATACGGTGAAAAAACCAAGGGATTGTGAAGTCAGTGGCTCTTAACAAGTTTTCTATTAAAAAATCATGCATATTTATTTTAAATTTGACTTTTTCATAGTAATTTTCCGCAAAAAAATATTAGTTACATGTTTCACACAATAAAGTACACCCTGTACGTTGCTTCTTGAAGCAATAATGAAGGAACAAAATATTTTTACAATTTTAATATGCAAACAATACACTGTTCAACTAGCGTTTTTTTTTTTTTGACTAAAAAGGAATTTGATATCGATTCTTTTTTTAATCTCGACCGCTAATTAAAATAATAGGTTCGAAATAACTGTACACGTGCAACAGCAATTTTTAATGACCCGCATAGCAATACTTTGGCACCGATATCCAAAAAACACGTATATGTATTGAGGTTACGATAAATACTGTACGAATATTTTTATATTTTTTTGTAAGAGATTTCGTTGAATTTGGAATCACAATACTGTATAAAAAGTTAGGTATTAGTATAATAACTAACTAATTATACCATAATAGCTAACCCAAAAAAAAAACAAACCCATATTCCATAAACCTAGAAACACAACAACTTACACAAATATTTGTAAGAATATCGTAAAAAACTAGTAAAACAAAGGTATCAAGAAGGCAATGTATGCTCAACGTAATAAATAAATTGTTTTCTATTTCTCAATTACAAACAAATGTTTTTGACCAACTATTTCCCAGTATTTATTAATTAATAGCACAAATTATTATTTTTATCAACCAGCATTCAAAGATTTTATATCTTGTTTTCAAATAAAATGATTATCACCTGCTTTCAAGGCATTCGATTGTGCATAACAAATTCCGTTTCACATAGTTTTGTCATGCAACATATTTTTTAAATAAATGTTATTCTAAACTGCAATATGTCGAAATAAAACAACATGTTTATCATATGTGAACTTTTTCTGTAATTTTTTATCCAATACGCAGTTCAATTACGGCAGGCTAATTTTGGGACAGCCTTTATATCTAATTGCAACAATACAAGGTTTCGTGAATGGATTATACACAGAAAGATCGCGATCTTGGAAATTGCACATAAATAATAACTCCGTCACGACTATTTAAATAAATATGGTATCATCCTCCGCTTTTTACCAAACTTTTGCGGGCGGTGGGCGCAGTTACCCGAAAAACTTTCGGAAAAATGGGCGTTAACCTCGGGGGGAAAGAAAGTCCGGCTCATCCTTAAACCAACCTGGCGGCGGCGGCGGGGCAGATCCCCAAAAAACCGGAGAACGTAGGCAGCTAATCGTCACTCGCTTGTTTCTAAACGGGTGAACAATAAAAAATTCCGGTACATCCGCGACTGGCGTGCACCGAAACCAGTCTTTTGTCTCTTGTAGGTTACCACCGAGGTTAACATTGAGCGGTGCCGCCGACAGCTGTTAGCCATTGCACTAGCCAAGTTATTATTCAAATAGATTTTGCTTGGGTGATTCCGATGTGCCACAAACGAATTCTCGCCGACAACCAAAGTAGAACTGAAATCATCAACTGTAAACAATAGTGAAAGTTGGTTGTTGCTAAACGTCATTCTTCAGAGAGGAAAAAATGGCAGGCACGGGAGACGTCCCGAAAAAAATGCGAGCTGCCGCAGAACGGAGCCTCCTCCGAAAATCGATGGAGTAATTTTGATTTTGAACGGGCGATTTCGCGAAAATGAACGCTTAAAAATCTATAGTGTTCATCAAACCGGTTCCTGTTTCGATAATAAAGGCATCAGGTAGTGTCTATCGGTAAAATCTTGTCGTAAATTAGTATTTATGACAGATTTTCGCGTTGTTTACAACAAAATAATTGATTCCGACCTGGGTGACTGTTTTTGCCGATTGACCAAATGACGTTAAAAAAGTATCTATCTAGATATTCATCAGTCACGATATCCCTTTGTGCTGGTAGCAACTCAATCCACGATTTTACAAAAAAAAATGAACATTTAATGATTGTATTAAGAACAGCACCGCTGCCTAGCACTAGGAATCTGAACTTTGCCACTTTTCGCAGTAATTATACTTGCAAATCCTGAGAAAATAATATTAATACGCAGGTACGGTGATTGTTGTTTTTTTCGTTGATCAGATGAGGGTTTCATTGAAAAATATAAAAGAATAAGTTGACGTGTCGTGGTTGACTAAGATTTTTAATGACGGGTCCCGGCCACTCATTAGGAAAAACATCCTCGCACTACACTTACCAGTCCAATTGGATTCTTGGGGCGCAGTTTTTCCGATACTTATATAACAGGAGCTACGCACAATGAACGTTGTATTTCGCTAAATTTAGTGCAAAATAACGTAAAATTCGATATTCTAGGGCGAGTAATGTACTGCACAAAAATTACTGCCACAAGATGTCTCTCGACTGTAAGTTCATTGATACTTGGACCTCGAGGCAAAATCTGATAGAAAACAAGAGACGACTGTTTAAAAAACAAAATCCTACCTCTGAGACACTGTCTTCTTCACTTTCCGATGTTTCTGACATATATCTGCGATGTTCTGAGTACGTTTCCGTTTCGGATTTTGCAGGACTCGAATTGGACGTCGATTGGGGAGTAGACGATGTGTTCCCTATATCGTGGTGAACATTCACTTTATCTATTTTCGGATTATCTGTTGAGGATTCTTGCGGAACATTCTGCATGTTGGCATTTCAATGAAACTATAAACGTTAAAACAGTCTCGGTTTTCGAACAATGTTCACTTTACACGCACTATTCCAAGCACATTCGTTCACATAAAATACATCGCGGTCGCCATTTTACACTATGGCCGACACAAAAATCACCGTTCCGTATTTCGGATACGGGCGCCCTCGCGACATCTACACCAAGTATGTCAAAACGCATACGACAGCTCTAGAACATTGGTCCATCTAGAAACCTTTGAAATCTACCCACCTAGTGTAACTAGTAATACACAGGTGGCGCCAGCGGTCAAGCAATTTGAAATAAGCAACCCTAAATACACATCAGCGAATAGAGGGTTGAGGGAAAGTTCAATTCTAAATCAATAAAAGAAAATTCCTTCATTATAATTTATTCATTGTTGTTGGAAAAAAACAGTTCTTGGGAATTTATTCAACGACTAAACGAATGGTTGTATGTTAATTTCCATTGCCGAACAAGGATTGGTTAATTCAAATTTCGACAAAACGTCCGGGTGTAGAACTCCAATTTTCCCGATAGGTTTTCCGTTGCAGATTATCTCTGCACACCTACCAGGGAAATACGTTGGATCTAAAAGTGATTATTTATTTAGATATAATTATTTTCTATTATTATCGCATTGTACGCACCGTTTGCCGCTTTTAGATAATAACCGACAGAATTTTTGGTAGGAGACCACGGTACCTCAAACAAAAGCATAATTTTATCAAGAAGGCCGTGCACTATCTCGAACCCAGCATTTCTGTTGCAGTTTACCGCGCAAATTCGCCTCTCATTCCTCGCTCCCACTTCTGTATGAAAAAAATTGATGTAACTCGCATCAAAGTTAACTCATTTTAAAAAAATGTCCTTGAAAACAAAAAAAGTTCAGTCCCGAAAAAGAAAAATATTTTCTGGGTTTGTACGTAAATAAAAGCACACCCTGTACATTTTCTTACCAGTTACGATGTTAAAACAGAAATTTGTATCGATTTTGGCATGTACAGGACACCCAGAGAAAATTTTTCCCTGGATTAAGAAAAACATCATTTGCTTTATTGAAAAACGATTAACAAAGCTGGAAAAAAAATTACTTCGTTGTTACCTGCTTCCGCGTCTTTCAGGACGACATCGGAGACTTCGAATATCTTCATCGGCAGTGGCATTTTTTTGTTGGCCGCGATCGTCTTCAATATTCCCGGCAGCAAAGTGGTACGGCACACTTGGAATTCCAAATTTTTCGGGTTTGAAATGTGAACGGCGGGAACTTCGTCGATAGACTCGATACGTAATTTCATAGAAACGTCGTCTTTGGAACACTAAAACCCACAAAAAAGTTTCATTATCCCGATTTTCGCCTTCTTCGCCACTTACTAAGGTGAACGTCAAGGCTTCCGTAAATCCAGCCTCGGCGATGGGGCTTCTAAGCAAATCGGACAATTTGTTAACGGGGAACTGCTGACCGATGGTGTTCGTTTTGGGTAGCGTCCGTCTGATGTTGTTATAACCGTAAGCGATAGCGACATCTTCGTATATATCGCAAGGGTGGATGACGTCGTGTCTCGTTGGCGGAATGGTAACTTTTATATCGTCTCCGTTAGACGTGATCTCCGACTTAAGGCACATTTTCGTTAAGAGCTCAGCCACGCCTTCCGGCGATTCACTGAGAGAAAATTAATCTTAATATGCCGATGTCAAACATGTCAAAACAAGTAATTGCAGTCGCGTTGCCCTTTGAATAAATTTAAGATGTGCTCAAGGTCTAGAATTCAGAATTATTTCTCTTTTTGTTATAATATAAAATAAAGTACTTGAGAATTTACTTATTTTAAATATTCGCATTCGCTTCGCTTTTATTTTTAATGCAACTAAACGATCTCAGAGGACACCAAGGGACACCTGTCTGGGCAAGAGCAGTGTGAAAAAGGACAGGCAAATGATGTGTCAGCAATATACAAATGAGTTGGAAAAGTGAAACTTATCCAAGAGAAAACCACAGGAACGGTAAAAGTTAACAAATGGTTGTCTCGGTCTGATCTTTTGCCCTTATCGCATTGTTTAGTTTTTTTCTGAACCAGATTAATAAGAATTAATAGCAATATTATATTTTCTTCAATTTTTCTTATCCCTTAACAAATTTATCAGTTTGAGGAGTATAACTACTATTTTTTTACTTACTTTATTCCAATTTTTCTATTTACTTTCCTGACGGAAACGATTTCCGTTCTGTATTGTAATTCGGGGTACAAAACCGAAGTGCCACTCGGATTAATGACTTCGCAGTACTCCACCGTGTATCTGTTGGAACAATACTGACTGAACGTACAAACCAACGTATCAAGTACTATTTTAGCCTAAAAGATGAAAAAAGCGTCACCGTTGTGCGGACAACTTCAAAAAATAAATTAGTACCTTTGTCAAATCAGTCGCGGTGCATTCTATAAACACATTTGTGGTATTGAGAGTTATACGGCTGTGATTGCCGTTGATAATAGGAGGTAAAGAAAGGACCACCCCATTGCTGTCCGTTATGACGGGATAAACGGGACTGTCTTTAATAATATGTAAATATTGCTTCAGTTGAGCGTGTGTCTAAAATCAAAGACAAGTTTCATGATAACGTTATTTCGATAATTAAATAAATTTACCGAGTAAAATGTCATCAGTTCTTCAGCAGTGTACTCTTTATCTTGATTAAGAGGAACGAATTTTATATCTTTTGGCGGTTTAGCATCGTAAATGAAAGGACCTTTGATAGTGTCATAATCGTGGGTCCCTATCGCAACCAACGACCGTTTCCGGCAAATATTCTGATGTAATTTGTCCTGTAAATCTATGAAACTATTATAAGTGTCCGGATTGAAGTGTAAGTTTCGTAAAATAGCGGCTACAGCGAAAGGACGAATTTTCGCGGTATCGGGTTTTATAATAAGTTTCTGTAGGTCTCCCTCGGATGGCTTGACAGCTTTAAAAACGGGATGAGGAACTCTAAAAACGGATGTATCATTTTCGCTCTTACTTATTCAAAGTACGCACCTTCCTTGAAATATTAGTAGACCTAATACTAAGCCTTCAAGGCACAACAAATCGTAACGGTTTGCTGGTATATCAATTCGGTAAATTACATCCTCTGACGCCCCTGAAGACAACTGCGAGTCCTCTCCTTGTTCTTTTACTATCATTTGCTTTTCGGTGGTCTATAAAAAAACTATTCAAAAAGAATTGGTTAAATTCAATTAACTTACACACCACTTCGTCTAGCTCTAAACCGAATTCGAAGCATAATTTCTGAAACTCCTCGTCGGCTACAATTTAAACCAAATTGAAAAATCTAAGGATAGTGCAATATTTGCAGGACTTACTATATGTTTTTCCTAAACATTGGAATAATAAATCACGTTTAACGCCAACAGTGGGCATGTTTCTTTTTATACTATAACCTTTGTAAATAATTAAATAAATTATAATACTTGCTATCTTTATATTAAAAAATATGCCGAATTGAGAATCTAACCTAAAAACTAAATTTTCCACGTTTAAATAGTCTGTTACGTTGGCCACACTGATTGTGTAAAATATCAGCTGTGGGCAATTTTTCATGAACAAACAAATTAACTGAATATATTAATTTGGAATAACAGTAACTGTGTAACACTCACAGACTTCTAAGTATTAGAAGTCTGTGGTAACACTGAACCATATTTAAATTTTGTTGGTGATTATTAGTAAAAACTACTAGAAACCTTGATTTAGGGGTTCCAATCCAATGAAATCGTAGCAAGTTATGACTTCATAGCAGTTATTAACCAGAAATATTAGGATAGGAACGAAAAATTGCATATAATTGTTTTTGACATTCGTAATCAAATTCCTGACATTTGGCATTTGACTTGATTTGACATAGTTCATGGTTCATGTTGGTTTATGTTTTTGTCGTTTTAGGTGTTCTGGTTTTTTTTCTGTGTTTATTAATGTCATGTACATTTAGTCTGAGAAGAAAATTTCAACGTTAAGTGAAATAAAAAAGAAAGGAAATATATGAATCGAATTTTAGGAACAAAATGTCTTCACAATTAAGCACGAAAGAAAAGTTGTTATATATCATCGATGATATAGAATTGATCTCTAAGTGAGTACTTTAACTTCCATTTATTTCTTTCTTTATACGATTTAGTTCACAGGGAAATTATAGAAAACGCCATAGCCCCAAAGAGCTCGAAACTATCAGGCCCGGAATATGCCCAATTGACAGATCTACTTGTCGCAAAGGACAACGAACTCAATGAAACTTTGAAACTGGCTGCCGAACAAGCCCAAATAAACAAAAAACTGGACGTTCTTAAAGCTGAAGTAGAACGACAGGACCAAGACATCAATCACTTACAAAAGCAGTTGAAAGAAGCAGAACAAATATTATCCACTGCGATCTACCAAGCCAACCAGAAACTTCAGTCGATCGCTAGGGCCAATCGAAGACCTGTCTCGTCGGAAGAACTCATAAAATTCGCACACAGAATAAGTGCTTCCAACGCCATTTGTGCTCCTTTGACTTGGCAGCAAGGGGATCCCCGCAGACCCTATCCCACAGACATCGAAATGCGGTTAGGTTTGCTAGGCAGAATGAGCGACCCGATTAACGGACATTTGTTGGCGCAGCAGAACAGCATGTCGGATTTGCACAGGCCGGGACATCCTGGAGGTGAGTTAGAGATAATCTACTGGAAGTTATTTATAAATGTTAATTTCAGAAATCCCAGCTTCACAACAAAATCAATTCGCGTGGCACCCGTCTGGAGAAATGCACATCAGCGTCGGTCAGGGTACCGTACCGATGGATACCCGCAATCATAAGCAAGAAAACGATGACGTGGAAGCGATGTCGACTGATTCCAGCAGCAGTTCTTCTAGCGATTCTCAATAACAGTACAAGTATATTTATTTTTAAGTGTTTCATTGTGTTTTTTTTATATTTGTTGTGAAATATTAAGGAAATAGGAATATTTGACTCTTGAATTCCTTTACTGTGATAGCTATTATTGTTTGGACGCATTTTTTTGTAGAATTTTTTGCATTTGTCAATATGTGTATCAGGAAATATAGTTTACATGCTGAAATATGTGTTTTACTTACAAAGAAAAAAAATGAATAATAAATTGATATTATGATACTCGAAATATCTAAATTGTTTGTTTTAAGATAAATGAGAAATTATAAAACTGTTTTTAGTGGTTCATGTAACCCACGGAACTTAGCCCGAGCACAACAAGGGTAGATTGTGGAAGTGCAATGAAAGTCTATAACTAGTGATGACTACGAAACTATCATACTTTAAATATTACTGATTTTAATTGGGTACATCTGCCGCACAAAATGAATTTTTTTAAATAAATATCGGCACTGAAATGGTCAGACAAGAGGCTAGTTTTGCCTAAATGGAAGTATCTCGTACTTAGGAAGTAGATAAAGTAAAAGCACAAAATAATAATAATAATAAAAAGAGATAACTCTCCTCGATTACATAATAAGAGCTACAACGCATGACATTAATTTTTGATAACTTTTTTTGCATTTTCAAAACCCAGATTGAGTCAAATGGAAAATGAAAACTTTTTTGTGCCTTATGAAAAAAACAAATTTATAAATTAAACTTTCACTGATTTTATAGGCTAAGAGGTTAAAAAAGTTATCAGAAATAAATAATTATAGACAATATAGTAACAATGCATTGCAAAAATTATCAAACTGGAAAATATGTACAAACATTTAAATTTATGAATTGCAAAATGTAACTCTACAACTAATAATTCGACATTGCTGTAAAATTGGTTGCATATCCTGCATATTATTATTGAATGAATGTCGCTCTTACTTATTTTGGAAAAGGAAATTGTCTGAAATTAGTTTTTATTCATTTACAAACTTGGATATTTATTTTTAATATGTCCAATATGTATATTGATTCGGAATTGCACACGTCAAATTTTACCTGGCGACAGACCATCTCAAAATAAGATATAGAACACCTAACACTATCTCCTAGCGTCTGTTTAGAAATGAAAGAGAGTAATAAAAGCTTATTATGTATGCAAATCGTAAATAAATGTAGTACTGGTGCTTATATTCAATATTTTTATATTATGTATTATCGGTATAGATGAGGTGTACTTTTAAAAAAACTTTGTGTGACCGGGTTGTACTAAATTGTAGCAGGTAGCTAAAATTTAATCCCCGACAATCCGTCTTTGTCTATGCCGCTTCAATTTCTCGGTCCATTTCTCTTATAAGTAAACAATATAAAAACAGCATTTCAAAACATGAGGCTACTTTAAGCATCATAACCGGGTTAAGA